GTACCGCAAAAAAAAAAAAAAAAAAAAAAAATACATAAGCATATTGTACTGTGTTGAATAGTGTCTCCCAACCCCCTCAATTCATGTCCTTCTCATAACCTCAGAATGTGACCTTATTTGCAAACAGGGTCATTGCAGATGTAATTAGTCAAACTAAGATGAGGTCATTCTGGAATAGGGTGAGCCCTTAATCCAATACGACTGGCAACCTTACAAGATGAGGAGAGAGGCAGAGACAGACGCACACGAAGAGGAAAATGCCATGTGAAGACAGAACAGAGGCTGGAATCCTGCAGCTGCAGGCCGAGGAACAGCAAGCAGAAGGACGTGGAACAGACTCTCCCTCTCAGTGCCTGAGAAGGAACCAACCCTGCTGGCTTCCTACTGGGTGTAAGTACCCCAGTTTGTGATAATTTGTTAAGACAGCCTTCAGAAACGCATACAGATTCCAAGACAATGAGGGAATTCCCTGGCGGTCCAGTGGTTGCGACTCGGTGTTTTCACTGCGGAGGGCCCGGGTTTCACCCCAGTTAAGATCTCCCATGCTCCCATGCCGCGATGACGAAAGAAGACTCATGCATCAGACACTTGTATGCTGCCTCCCATCCTCCTGACCCATCTGCTTCTTGCTCCTGTTCCTACAGTCAGGCCTGCAAGGGCCCTGATCACCTTCATGCCCTCGCAGCACCTCCCAGCTTCTGTCCCTAGGGGCTCCTTGTCGATGCTGCGAGCTGGCCCTGCTCAGCACCAAAGGCACATACAGCCCCGGAGGTGGGACTCTGGACTCAGTGAATAAATTCTTCCCTCTTTCTGCCATGGAAAGATTATCCTGAAATGTAGATTATGTAGCTTTTCAGAGAACGTCCTGTGAGATTGAACAATCCATCAATCTTAGTGGTCAGTGTGGTGACACACATGGACCTTGGTCCCCTCCTTCCCCGCCTCCTTCCTCTGTGCCTCCCTCTCCCTTTCCTCGGATTATATTACCTATTAAAGCAGGAACAACAGGGACTTCCCTGGAGTTCCAGTGGTTAAGACCACAGGGGGCTGGGTTCCATCCCTGGTCAGGGAACTAAGATCCCGCAAGACTTGCCGTGCGGCCAAAAAAAAAAAAAAAAAAAGAAAGAAAGAAAAGAAAAAGATCATTCTGACTCTACTGCAGAGAAGATTGGAAGAATAAATGGGAGAGCCTCAAACAGTCAAAGAAAGGGACTGTGGCTGGGACTTGAGCAGGTGGCAGAGGATATTTTCTGAAGATGAGCTCAGTAGTACCCCCCACTCTTCTGCACTGGTCACGTCTCTGTTTCTTTCTCCACCCCCTCGAGCCTAGGCGGGCATAGTGGGATCGCTTTGACTGATGCAATATGGCGGAAGGGACACTGTGCCAGTTACGTGCAAACACCTTCACTTCCACTGGCAACTTCCACTGCCTGCCTTCTGTAGTCTTGCTCTTGGCACTCGGCTGCCGTCCTGTAAGCAGCCCACGTCCTGTGGAGAGGCATGAGGGGACCTCCACCTGACGGCCGCAGCTGAGCTCCCCTCCCACAGCCATGCACGGGCCCTGTCTTAGACCAGTGCAGTCAACCTTCTGTTCTCCAGTTCTCAGCAAGAGCCACCCTGCTGAGCCCACTCCACCTACCGGCCACAAGAGACACTAGCTGTCCTATCCTATGAGGGCTGCTGTTACTAACAAACTGGGCACTTAAACAACAGAAATGTATTGTCTTGTGGTTCTGGGGGCTAGGAGTCTTAACCAAGATATCAACAGGGTTAGTTCCTCCTGTGGCTGTGAGAGAGGATCTGCTCCAGGCATCTCTTTTGGCCTGTAGATGGCCATCTTCTCACTCTTCATATCATCCTCCCTCTATGCATGGCTCTGTGTCCAAATGTCCCCTTTTCAGCAGGACACTGGTCATATTGGATTAGGGCCTACTCTGATGAGCTCGGTTTAACTTGATTACCTCTATTAAGACCTTATTTCCAGAGGCTTTCCTGGTGGTCCAGTGGTTAAGAATCCACCTTTCAATGTAGGGGACATGGGTTCGATCCCTGGTCGGGGAACTAAGATCCCACATGCCGTGGGGCAACTAAGCCCGCGTGCTGCAACTACAGAGGCCACATGCCACAACTAGAGAGCCCAAGTGCCAAAACTACTGAGCCCACATGCTCTGGAGTCCACACGCCACAACTAGAGAGAAGTCCGTGGGCTGCAACGAAAGATCCCGTGTGCTGCAACTGAGACCCAACGCAGATAAAAATAAATAAGTTTAAAAAAATAAAAATAAAGTGTTATATAAAGACCTTATTTCCAGATCATGTCACATTCTGAGATACTGGGGGTGAACATTTCAACATATGAATTTGAGGGATACACAATTGACACCATAATAAATTATAAATAAATATAATTTATTATATTTAATAAATTATATTTATTATATTATATTATATTTATTAATTTATTATATTATTATAAATTATAAATAAATTATAAATATTATAACCATAATAAATTGCTCTTTTAAGCTCCAGTACTGAGGTGGTTTGCTATGCTCAAAAGATAACCAGAACAGGTAGCTGTGGAGGTGAAAGGAAGCACACTTTTCAGGAGATGTTAAAAATCCCTAAAACATGGTAATTGGGTTGGATGTGAAAAAGACTGCAGAAGACACTACAGGTTTCCTACCCAGCCTCCATCCTTCTTTTTCTTTACTATAAGTCACCATTCTTTCCTTCTGGTTATGTCTTCACTAAATTCTGGCCCTATTTACCTCCTGAAAGAGAAATCCTAAATAACCTAAGCAAATCACAATAATTACATTTCTAGTCTCAGTGATTGGATCAAGGCATGTGGCTCAATGCGAGGAGAGAGAAATCTGCTGAAGGTGCTTCTGGGGAAAGTTTCTTATCTCTATTTTTGTCTGTGTGTGTGTGGTACGCGGGCCTCTCACTGTTGTGGCCTCTCCCATTGCGGAGCACAGGCTCCGGACGCGCAGGCTCAGCGGCCATGGCTCACGGGCCCAGCCGCTCCGCGGCATGTGGGATCTTCCCGAACCGGGGCACGAACCCGCTGCCTGCAGCGGCAGGCAGACTATCAACCACTGCACCACCAGGGAAGCCCCGGTTTCTTACCTCTTAAAAGAGACACAAGGAAACAATGATCCTTCCTCTCCCTCTGATCTTCCTGTGTGAGGATGTGATGCCTGGAGAGAGCCAGGCAGTACACTGAGGACGGCAGCAAAGAATGATGGCAGCTCCCAGGTTCCTGGCGATATGGCAGAGTCACTGCATTGACCACCCTGGAGTCACCGCAGCTCACGACTTCTCGTTATGAGACTCTAAATCCCATTATTATTTAAGCTTTTTTGTGTTGAGTCATCTGTCATTTACAGTGGTGTACACTTGTCTGTCAAATAGATAAGTAACTATTCAGGAGCTCAGAAGAAGTTTGAGATGGAAATAGAAAATTTCTGGTCATTTAAATATGAATGGATCGGGGTGCTGGTTGGTAGATCAACAGGAAGAAGGGCAAACTTCAATAGAAAATACACAAAGGATATGTATGGAAAGTCTCCATTCATTTACCGAATAAATGTTGACTGAGTGCCTAGTACGTGCCAAGCACTCTTCTAGGCTCTGGGAATAAAGCAATGAACAAAAGAATGCAAAAATCCCCACTGTCATGGAGCTTCACTCTAGCATCGGTATTTAGTGGGGGAAATGCAAAAGCACAATAACTAGCGTAGACTGAAAAAAAATGCACCACCTAAAAGTTGAGAATTCTGTTTTGTTTGGTGGACAAACCTGAGGACTTACGCCTGGGACGCACGCTCTCAGATAGCTCTGAGGGACTGCTTTGAAGAGATGGAGGAACCAGGATATAGAGGAGCTTTTGCAAAAAAGACCAGGTAGTTGGAACTTCAAAAGATTACTATTAATTAAAGAAAACCAGACATCTCAAGTTAAGGAATTTAGAGCTTTTCTATGTATGGGAGGATGCAAGAGTCTGGGCTCACTGAAATCATTCCTTTGCTCTGCACCCAGCTCTCTGGGGCCAGCATCCTGTGCTTTCTCATCCTGAATCTCCTCAGGGTGCATCCTCGGGGCTGGCTGCAGTGGCTGATGGCTAGATGTCGGGCATCCTGTTTCCATCCTGAGTTCCCTCAGGGCTCACTGTCTGGGCGGCTGTAATGCGACGGCTCGATGGCTGCAACATCCTTTGTTTACTGATATGACAGCAACATTTTTTTCACTCACGCTAGAAAATGCTTAACCTCAACTATCATTGAGGAGTCACAAATAACTTACATATTTACACTCACTTACTTACTAAATTGGAAAAAATGTAAGCCCTCGATAATATCCAGCAGTGGCAGTGGTGTGGTGAAACAAGCACTCTCATCCACAGTTGGTGGGACCGCAGCCTTGTGCAACCTGGGCAACAGTTACCAAAATTCCACCAGGATGTTAATTTTAACAGTAAAACCCTGGACACCAGCAAAGTATCCAGCAACAAGGCACTGGTTAGATAACTTATGCATGGTCCATCTATACAATAAAGTAGATCTGTATATGCAAAGTTAGAAGTGCTTAAAGATATATTATTAAATGAATAGCACAAAATGCAAAACAGCATGATCCATTTGTATAACAATTTTTAAAACATCATACAAATTTGTATATAATAATATATGCCTTAAAGTTTTGTGGTTTTGGTTTTTTTCCTCAGATGGAAGAGCAAGAAGATGCTATTAGCATTTTTCCTTTAGGGACAGGAAATCACGTCTATTTACTTTGCTTTTTAATTGTAGCAGACTCTGTGGATTGGTTCCCTGTGTCATTCATAACCCCCACCCCCTTGCCTTCCCCTCCAGTAGAGGTAGGGGAAATGCTCCTGTCCTTAGATTCCCGTGCAGCTAGGTTGGCCTCGTCACTCTGCAGATGTTCTACCCAGGACAGGAAGGAAAAGCCTCTGGGAAAGCCGTTCAGAAGGGACTCACTTGAACACGATTTAAGCTCCTCCCTGCTTTCTCCATGAACCGGATGTGGAAGGAGGCCTTTGCTCCCATGGTGACTTCCCACGCTAATCAGGATTACAGCCACATCGGAGCCACTGCGGAAGAACGCAAAGGCAGCTGGATCCTCCCCTGCTGCCGAGCCCACTGCTCCCACCTGTGATGAGTCGACCATCGAATTCGACGCCATTTGCACAGAGAATATTGGAGTGAAGATTGTGCAGCTGAAGTTATTGTGGTTTATTTGAAAGAACCAAGGACCAGAGCACCCAGAGGAAATTCAGCACCTCCAGGGAAGCAACAACATCACTGTCAGTCATCCTTGAAATGAAGCAAGTGCTCCATTAGCTGGAGCCAACAGCCTGCTACCCACTACTTTCTAAGAAGATACTGAGCTTCAGAACCCTACATCTACCAAATACAGTTGATTGATTTTTAGTGTTAGTAAAGTATTACAGAATGGGATTCCCAGCTGAGGACACACATTTTTCAACGAGGCATCTATCCAGGAGAGGATGTAGCCTTATGGATCTTTACAAATTCCTGGTGGAGATGGACGTTTCTGGACTATGTTGCACAAAGATGGACTTGACAAATGTCTATTTTTGTTGTTGTTGTTGGGTTTTGTTTTTCGGCTGCGTTACATGCCATGTGGGACCTTAGTTCCCCAGCCAGGGATCGAACCCACACCCCTTGCAATGGAAGCATCGAGTCCTAACCACTGGACCTCCAGGGAAGTACCAGAATGATCTTTTCTAAATGCAGATGTGATCATTTCCCCTCTACTTTAAACGGTTCAATGGCTCCTCATTGTGTTAGGATAAAAATAAAATTTTTAACATAGACTGTGTCAGTCAGGTCCCTGGTTGGAAAAACATGGCGTACTCAAAGTGAGCAGTTTGAGGCAAGTTTAAGAAATGTACTACGTAGAAGGGCGTCAGTAGGATTTAGTAGTGTTACCCTTTGATCGTGTGGCAATTCATATATTACAAACATTTCCATATTCAAACATTATCTCCTTTGAGTTTGACACCAACTCAGTGATCTAGTCAGGAATTCTTACCCCAATTTTTTAAAAAATAAATTTATTTATTTGATATTTTTATTTTTGGCTGCGTTGGGTCTCTGTTGCTGCACACGGGCTTTCTCTAGTTGCAGCAAGCCGGGCTGCTCTTCGTTGCGGTGCGCGCGCTTCTCATTGCGGTGGCTCCCCTCTTTGCACAGCACAGGCTCTAGGCGCGTGGGCTTCAGTAGTTGTGGCACTCGGAGTAGTTGTGGCTCTCAGGTTCTAGAGCGCAGGCTCAGTAGTTGTAGCGCATGGGCTTAGTTGCTCCGCGGCATGTGGGATCTTCCCCGACCAGGGCTCAAACCCGTGTCCCCTGTGTTGGCGGGCTGATTCTTAACCACTGCGCCACCAGGGGAGTCCCTTACCCCAATTTTAAAGTTGAAGAGGGCTTCCCTGGTGGCGCAGTGGTTGGGAGTCTGCCTGCCGATGCAGGGGACACGGGGTCGTGACCCGGTCCGGGAGGATCCCATATACCGCGGAGCGGCTGGGCCCGTGAACCATGGCCGCTGAGCCTGCGCGTCCGGAGCCTGTGCTCTGCAACGGGAGAGGCCACAACAGTGAGAGGCCCGCGTACCGCAAAAAAAATTTAAAAAAATAAAAAAAATAAAAAATAAAGTTGAAGAAACTGAGGCTGAGAGTCATTATGTCTGACTTGTCTAAGATCACCTGGTTAATAAATAAATAAGTTGGGAATAAAAATTGACCTTGGGGGGCTTGGGGAGGGATGGATTGGGAGTTTGGGATTAGCAGATGCAAACTATTATATAGAGAATGGATAAACAACAAGGTCCTACTGGGAACTATATTCAATATCCTGTGATAAAACATAATGGAAAAGAATATGAAGAAGAATATGAAAAAGAATGCATATATATATGTACAACTGAAAATCACTTTGCTATTCAGCAGAAACCGACACAACATTGTAAATCAACTATCCTATCCTTCAATAAAATATATATATATTTTTTTTTGGCCACGCCACACGGCTTGCAGGATCTTAGTTCCCCGACCAGGGATCAAACCCAGGGCCTCGCAGTGAAAGCATGGAGTCCTAACCTCTAGACCACCAGGGAAGTTCCAAAAGTTTATTTAAAAAAACACAAAAACCCACAACTGATCTTGTGGATCCTCCACCATAATCTGGGAGTCTTTCAAACACCTTCCTATCTTTTTGCTTTCCTTCCAGCTATTGTCCTATCCTCTTTTTGAACATGACAAGAAGGCAGCTGGGTAATGGAGACTAATGGCAAACTCTAGCATGTTTCCCAAACCTTTTGCCTTGAGCCCGGGCTCAAAGTTCCTATCGTCTCATCACTAATTAAAGGCTATGGAGCAAGGGTTCATCGGCTGTCGGGTTTGCTGCTGCTCTGGTTTAACATTGATTTCAGTGTTTATAATGGGGTTGACACTACTCAGAATATTCCCTGACAAATCTTGGCTTCTATCTTACTGCAGTGTTTACAGCAGCATGGGTAAACCCAAAGTGTCAGCGAATCCTAAATTATTCATCGTTGGCTTGTATTCTTCATAACTGCATAAGACTTTGAGTCTATCTAAAGTTTGGGGACATCACAATACTTCAGACAAAATAATGAACTCATACTGTGAGGGGCTTGTACAGGAGGACTCTGAGTACTGTTGAATTTCCCCCTCTGCTATATTTACCCCTCTGCTTCCCCTCTAGGGAACGCTATCACTTCTCATACCAATGCAAGCAAGGTACCACTCTATTTCTCTCACACAAAAATTACTTTCAGGCTTCCTTGGGAAATTGAAAAGGTAATTAAGAATTTTTTCAAGAGGAGGAAATCTCAAACTTTTCTCCTCTTTACCTACCTCTGGGCTACACTATCATATAGAAAATAAGAGTTCAGGGTCAGGACAGGAATAAAGACGCAGACATAGAGAATGGACTTGAGGACATGGGGAGGGGGAAGGGTAAACTGGGACGAAGTGAGAGAGCGACATGGACATATATACACAACCAAATGTAAAATAGCTAGTGGGAAGCAGCCGCGTAGAACAGGGAGATCAGCTCGGTGCTTTGTGACCACCTAGAGGGGTGGGATAGGGAGGGTGGGAGGGAGATGCAAGAGGGAGGGGATATGGGGATATATGTATATATATAGTTGATTCACTTTATTATAGAGCAGAAACTAACACAACATTGTAAAGCAATTATATTCCAATAAAGATGTTAAAAAAAAAGAAAGAAGAGTTCAAGAGAGATGATACTTTAAAATTTTAAAAAGAATTACTATGTAGAGCTTTCCTTACTTTTTTAACATACATATTCTTTGCTATAATATCTATTCAATTTTCAGAAAATTGATGTGTAATATTGTAAAACTGGCATAGTAAATAAGGTTTTCCAAAATTCTAGGTTATAAACCACCCTTCGGGGCTTCCCTGGTGGCGCAGTGGTTAAGAATCCGCCTGTCAATGCAGGGGGCATGGGTTCGAGCCCTGGTCCAGAAAGATCCCACATGCCGTGGAGCAACTAAGTCCGTGCACCTCAACTACTGAGCCTGTGCTCTAGAGCCCATGAGCCACAACTATTGAGCCCGCACGCCTAGAGCCCGTGCTCTGCAACGAGAGAAGCCACCCACCACAATGAGAAGCCCACGCACTGCAACAAAGAGTAGCCCCTGCTCACTACAACTAGAGAAAAGCCTGCGCGCAGCAACAAAGACCCAATGCAGCCAAAAATAAATAAATAAATTTATTTTTAAAAAATAAATAAATAAACCACCCTTCGTAACAGGAATAGGGGAAGAAAGAGGAGGTTCGAGACTTTCCATTTTTACTTTGGACCTTGACAATTGCCTTGATTTTTATGCAAGAAGCATGTCTTGCTTTTGTAATCAAGACTTTTTGATTAAAAAAGTAAAATTTCCCTGTTGTTGAGTATTATTCTGGAAAAAATAATCTGAACTTCCAAGTGTTAGCTATTATACTGTACTGTTATAGTAGAGACTTTTTTGAAATAAAAGCTATTCCCAGCTGGTATATTACAATCAAGAATCAGACCTTAAAGCATGTGTAGATCCTAAATAAAGCAGAACCTCTTTCTTCTTGAATAGGTTATAACTTCCTAGATTCTTCAGCTATGGATTACAAGACAAGGCAATTTTAGAAAATATTAACTGTAATCTTCCCACCAGCCAGCGAGAAAAACATCGTAACATAAGGGGCATCAGGTGGAGAACCCAGCGATTACCTCAGAAGTGGAGAAAAATCAGCCTGAGGCTAACAGCTGCTCTGATCCTATCTGATAAAGCCTCAGGAGGATCAAACTGTTCCCAAGCAACTTACCTGTGTCTCAGAACAAAGATAAAGAATATTAAAAAAAAAAAAAAAAGACCATCCAGCACCAACAAGGTAAAATCCACAATGTTTAGCATGTAATAAAGAATTACCAGGCATATGAAAAACAGGATAAAATGGCCAATAGTGAGGGAAAGTCACCAGCCATGACAACATGGACGTAGAAGACAAGCACGTTAAAACGGTTACTACAACAGAATTCGATATGTTCAAGAAGGTTGAGAAAAACAAAAGCATGAGAGAGACATAAAAGAGACATAAGAGAAATAAAAAAGACTGAAATCAAATGTGGAGAGATGAAAACTACAACATCTGAGATAAAAAACATGCTGGAAGATCAGATACTACAGGAGGAAAGATCAGTGAACTTGAAGACATCAATAGAAACAATCCAAAATAAAACACAAAGAGTAAAAATTCTTTAAAAAATGAACAGAACATCAGTAAGTGGGAAAGCTTCAAATGATCTAAGATACATGGAAGTGGAGTCCTCAAGCAGAGAGAAGAGAAGAAGGGACAAAGAAATAATGGCCAAAAATTTTCTGAATTTGATGAAAACCAATCCCAGAGACCCAGGAAGCACAACGAACCCCAAGCAGAAGAAACTAAAAATCTCACATACGGGGGAATCAGGCGCTGCTGAAGCACGGAGGCCCATCATAATGAAGGCACATAAAACTAGTGTAAAAGAGAAAATCTAAAGCAGTGAGAGAAAATGGCATGGTGTGTCCAAAGGAACAGAAGTAAGAATGACAGCCGACTTCTTGTCAGAGTTTCATTATATGTTTAAGG